GATAGATAGAGATAGATGATAGACAGAATCATGGGGCTAGAAGAGATCCTCAAGAGCCACAAGAAGATAGATAGAGTCATTGAGTTGCAAGAGACCCCAAGGGTCATCCAGTCCAACCCCTAAGATGATAGATGGATGGATGGATGGATGGATGGATGGATGGATGGATGGATAGATAGATAGATAGATAGATAGATAGATAGATAGATAGATAGATAGATAGATAGATAGATAGATTGATAGATAGAGTCATTGAGTTGCAAGAGACCCCAAGGGTCATCCAGTCCAACCCCTAAGATGATAGATGGATGGATGGATGGATGGATGGATGGATGGATGGATAGATAGATAGATAGATAGATAGATAGATAGATAGATAGATAGATAGATAGATAGATAGATAGTAGATAGATAGATGATAGATTGATAGATAGATAGATTGATAGATTGATAGATAGAGTCATTGAGTTGCAAGAGACCCCAAGGGTCATCCAGTCCAACCCCTAAGATGATGGATGGATGGATGGATGGATGGATGGATGGATGGATAGATAGATAGATAGATAGATATAGATACAGATAGATAGATAGATAGATTGATAGATTGATAGATTGATAGATAGAGTCATTGAGTTGCAAGAGACCCCAAGGGTCATCCAGTCCAACCCCTAAGATGATAGATGGATGGATGAATGGATGGATGGATGGATGGATGGATGGATAGACAGACAGACAGATCAAAATTTGCAGGAGGGGGGGACCTGAGTTCAGATTTCCTTGCACTTGCATCAATCGGTGCACAGTTTTGCTGGGTGAATGCAAACGCAAAGCGAAATGCACATCTGCTATTGCAAACATTCATTTTTCTTCTTTTCCCATTTTTCTCCAAAGGACCCGGATGAAGAAGCAAAGCAAAGAAGCCACGAAAAACCACGACCTCCTTGCAGCGGCCATCCACATGAAGGCCTTGCCCAGTGAGTGAAACCATCTGTCCACATTATGTACTGAAGTGCAAACTAAATGTTTTCATATAGAATCATAGAATCAAAGAGTTGGAAGAGACCTCATGGGCCATCCAGTCCAACCCCATCTGCCAAGAAGCAGGAAAAGCACAATCAAAGCACCCCTGACAGATGACCATCCAGCCTTTGTTAAAAAGCTTCCAAGGAAGGAGCTTCCACCAGACTCCGAGGCAGAGAGTTCCACTGCTGAACAGCTCTTCTTAGAGTCAGGAAGTTCTTCCTAATGTTCAGGTGGAATCTCCTTACCTGTAATTTGAACCCATTATTCCGCGTTCTAGTCTCCAAGGAAGCAGAAAACAAGCTTGCTCCCTCCTCCCTGTGGCTTCCTCTCACATATTGACACATGGCTATCATATCTCCTCTCAGCCTTCTCTTCTTCAGGCTAAACATGCCCAGCTCCTTAAGCCGCTCCTCATAGGGCTTGTTCTCCAGACCCTTGATCATTTGAGTCGCCCTCCTCTGGACACATTCCAGCTTGTCAATCTCTCTCTTGAATTGTGGTGCCCAGAATTGGACACAATATTCCAGGTGTGGTCTAACCAAAGCAGAATAGAGCATGGGGAGCATGACTTCCCTATATCTAGACACTATGCTGATATTAATGCAGGCCAAAATCCCATTGGCTTTTTTTGCTGCCACATCACATTGTTGGCTCAAGTTTAACTTGTTGTCCACGTGGACTCCAAGATCTTTTTCACATGTACTGCTCTCGAGCCAGGCGTCCCCCGTTTTGTAGAATCATAGAATCATAGAATAATAGAGTTGGAAGAGACCTCATGGGCCATCCAGTCCAACCCCCTGCCAAGAAAGCAGGAATATTGCATTCAAATCACCCCTGACAGATGGCCATCCAGCCTCTGTTTAAAAGCTTCCAAAGAAGGAGCCTCCACCACACTCCGGGGCAGAGAGTTCCACTGCTGAACGGCTCTCACAGTCAAGATATTGAGACAGATGCTGAACTAACAGGGACCTTCACAGCTGGGGAATAATTTTGCACAAAATCTGCCTCTGGTTCATGCATATAGGAAATAATATTGCAGTCCCGAAACATTAATTCCTGCGCATAATTTTTTTGCAAAGGTAATATAATATGTCCATCTAGAAATATTAACTCCTGCACAGAAAGTATTGTTTCCTGCACAGTAACTGACTGCTTGTGAATATCGCACAGAATAAGTCCCGTGACCACCAGAAACTATAATTTTCTTGCAGCAAGAAAATTGCTGAAATTATTGGCTGAAATTTCAGAAAATCACTGAAATTAATTTTCTTGCAGCAAAAAATTGCTGAAACTATAATTTTCTTGCAGCAAGAAAATTGCTGAAAGGGATTAAAGGTGCATCTACACTGTAAAGTTAATGCAGTTTGACACCCCTTTAACTTCCATGGCTCAACACTATAGAATCATGGGAGTTATAGTTTGACTGGGTCTTTATGCTTCTCTGCCAAAGAGTTCTCCCCAACTACAGATCCTATGATTCCCTAACATTGCGCTGTGCCAATTTAAAGTGGTATCAAACTGCTTTAGTTCTACTGCGTAGATGCATCCTTAGTGAAGAATGGCATCCTACTCATGTATTGGAAGCATTCCCAGGACAGCTTCTTGTTCCTATCAATAGGAATAGAGTTGGAAGGCACCCTCAAAGGCCACCCAGACCAACCCATTTTTGTCAGGAAGGCACCATTCAAGCCCTACCAACAGAGGGCCATCCAGAGAAGGAGACTCCACTGGATTCCCAGGCAGTCTGCATTCCACTAGAATTGGAAGGGACCCCCAAAGGTCATCCAGACAAACCTGCTTCTACCAGGCAGGAATCCACAATCCAAGCTTCCCAACACTCCTGCTGACAGGTTCGCTTGGAAAGCATTGATTTATCCCCCCAAACTGCCAATTGGTGTGAGTAATGCAGCAGTGAGAAACCACAGCCGAAAAGGCTGCCTTTGTCTGCCTGGCCCATCAGACCTTCCATGCGGAGCAGCCTGGACATTCCTGGGAAGCCAGCCATGGAGTAAAGTTACTTTTAGAAGCAGAAATAGTTGTAGTAGTGGAAGAGGGAAGGGCAGGTTTTCAAACAGAGTTGCAGCACAAACAACCTCTTCTGGCTTCGGCAGAGAGCACAGAACCACAGTTGCCTTCCAAAGGGTAGGTGGACTACATCCTGGTCCTGGTCTTGATCAGGATCTTCATTCATGACTTAGATGAAGGGCTAGAAGGCAGGATCATCAAGTTTGCAGACGACACCAAATTGGGAGGGATAGCCAATAGTCCAGAGGACAGGAGCAGGATTCAAAGGGATCTTGACAGATTAGAGAGATGAAGGGCCAAAACTAACAAAATGAAGTTCAACAGTGACAAATGCAAGATACTCCACTTAGGCAGGAAAAACGAAATGCAAAGATACAGAATGGGGGATGATGCCTGGAGAGCAGTACGTGTGAAAAAGATCTTGGAGTCCTCGTGGACAACAAGTTAAACATGAGCCAGGAATGTGATGTGGCGGCAAAAAAAGCCAATGGGATTTGGGCCTGCATCAATAGGAGCATAGTGTCTAGATCTAGGGAAGTCATGCTCCCCATGCTCTATTCTGCTTTGGTTAGACCACACCTGGAATATTGTGTCCAATTCTGGGCACCACAATTCAAGAGAGGTATTGACAATGTGTCCAGAGGAGGGCAACTAAAATGATCAAGGGTCTGGAGAACAAGCCCTATGAGGAGCGGCTTAAGGAGCTGGGCATGTTTAGCCTGAAGAAGAGAAGGCTGAGAGGAGATATGATAGCCATGTATAAATATGTGAGAGGAAGCCACAGGGAGGAGGGAGCAAGCTTGTTTTGCTGCTTCCTTGGAGACTAGGACGCGGAACAATGGCTTAAAACTACAGGAAAGGAAATTCCACCTGAACATGAGGAAGATCTGCCTGTGAGAGCTATTCAGCAGTGGAACTCTCTGCCTCAGAGTGTGGTGGAGCCATCTTTTTAACAGAGGCTGGATGGCCATCTGTCAGGGGTGCTTTGAATGCAATTTTCCTGCTTCTTGGCAGAATGGGGTTGGACTGGAGGGCCCATAAGGTCTCCACTTAGAGACTCCACTTAGGCAGAAAAAATGAAATGCAAAGATACAGAATGAGGGATGCATGGCTCGAGAGATGTATGTGTGAAAAGGATCTGGGAGTCCTTGTGGACAGCAAGTAAACATGAGCCAACAATGTGATGTGGGAGCAAAAAAAGGCCAAAGATCAATAGGAGCCTAGTGTCTAGATCCAGGGAAGTCATGGTACCCCTCCATTCTGCCTTGGTCAGACCACACCTGGAATACTGTGTCCAATTCTGGGCACCACAATTGAAGGGAGATGTTGACAAGCTGGAATGTGTCCAGAGGAGGGCGACTCAAATGATCAAGGGTCTGGAGAACAAGCCCTATGAGGAGCGGCTTAAAGAGCTGGGCATGTTTAGCCTGAAGAAGAGAAGGCTGAGAGGAGATATGATGAGGGCCATGTATAAATATGTGAGAGGAAGTCATAGGGAGGAGGGAGCAAGCTTCCTTTCTGCTTCCCTGGAGACTAGGACACAATAGAGCAGTGGCTTCAAACTACAAGAGAGGAGATTCCATCTGAACATGAGGAAGAACTTCCTGACTGTGAGAGCCGTTCAGCAGTGGAACTCTCTGCCCCAGAGTGTGGTGGAGGCTCCTTCTTTGGAGGCATTTAAACAGAGGCTGGATGGCCATCTGTCGGGGGTGATTTGAATGCAATATTCCTGCTTCTTGGCAGAATGGGGTTGGACTGGATGAAATCCCAGGAGGTCTCTTCCAACTCTAGGATTCTGTGATTTTTCCATTGGTGGGGAGGATGGACCACTGTTGGTATTTTTGCATATTTGTATATATTTTAAATTGTATACTCATGCTTTTATGTTAAGCCACTTTGAGTCTCCTGCAGGAGAGATGAAGCGGGGTATAACTCTAATAATAATAATAATAATAATAATAATAATAATAATAATAATAATAATAATAATAGCCCAACTTGAACCCCTGATTTCCCTCTGCAAACTCTGCCTTGACTCTCTTCTCTCCTCCTTTTGCAGAAGCCCAGATCTTGTAACATGGATCGGGTCCCCTGTGTGAGGGGCACCCCAACATTCACCTCTTCAACTGCAGCTGACCATCAACTTCCCAAAGGAGTTGCCCCTTTGCTGAACATCCATTTCCCAGAAGTAAACTGGAGGCTACTGGTTTTGGACTCATCCCACAGCCTCTGCCTTGCAGTGGGCAACTACCTTTTGCAGAAAGTCTTCATGCCCACTAAAGTGGAATAGGTGGCCAGAGCCATTGGGTTGAGAGGATGGGCATTCCACCCAACGGTCACCCTTCGGACAGCTCCAAACCACAGTAAATCCTGGCCCTTTGGGACTTTGGGACCATTTATCGGTGGGCAAAGACGCATAGTTTGCAAAAGGTCACCCTGCCCACCAGACTGGCAAGAAGGAAGGGTCAAAGGATGGACACTCTGGACCTGGCTTGGCTAAGTTGGCACCCCCAAAATGGTCCACATTACTCCCTTTGGGACTTCAGGACTATTGGTTGGCTTGGTGTGACAGCATGAACCCATGGGTCGCTGTACATTGTGGGGAAACTAGAGGATGCAAGGCATTGTGGGGGGTGAGGGCCCCTTTTCCAGAGCGTTGGCCAGAGAGATGGAAGGAAACAGCCCAGATTTCCCTGAACATCAACCATATTGGCAAAGGGTGCAAACGCCAGCTCATGCGCGCATCCATGTCTTCCTGTGCGGTGTCTCATTGCGCACACATTTGCACATGGCCGGCAAGGGACATTTCCTGGCCATGAATTAAATCCCTGCTTTTGTTTATATTGGTTTGTAAGAAATCCAGACCCCTCCCACATTCTGTGAGGATGTCAATGGGAAATTGCCCAAATTCGTGCTTGTTGGCAACCTTTTCAGGGCAAGGAAAGGTTGGCAGTCATGCCTACAAGCCCTAGAGTCCTAGGCTTGTAAGGCAGCCCTGGGGTCATCTAGTCCAACCCCCTGCTAGGCTGGAAGGCACAACTAGAGCGCTCCGGAAAGATGCCCATCCATGATTGAAAGTTGAGAGGTTCTTTCAGGTGCTGGAGATATTATGTAGCGTGGAGAAGGATCCTAGAATGCTAGAGTTGGAAGAGACCGTATGAGCCATCCAGCCCAACCCCCATTCTTCCAGGCAGGAAAAGCACAACCAAAGCCCTCCAGACAGATGGCCATCCAGCCGCTGTTTAAAAGCCTCCAAAAAGAAGCCTCCACCAGACTCCGAAGAGAAGATGGAGAGGGGACATAGCAGAGACATAATAAATACAATAGTTGTATCTGTTGGGGTTTACATAAGACATTTGCACCTGTTGGCATTTCCACGTGACCTGTTGAGGCTTGCATGTGACATATTGAGGCTTGATTGTGGCATATGCACCCATTGGGATTTGCATGTGACGTATGGGGGCTTGCATATGGCATATGTACCCACTGGGGTTTGCACATGCCATATTGAGGCTTGCATATGGCATATGTGCCCATTGGAGTTTGCATATAGCATATGTACCTATTGGAGTTTGCACATGCCATATTGAGGTTTGCATATGGCATATGTGCCCACTGGAGTTTGCATCTAGCATATATACCTATTGGGGTTTGCATGTGACATGTTGAGGCTTGCATATGGCATATGTACCCATTGGAATTTGCATATAGCATTTGTACCCATTGGGGTTTGCATATGACATATTGAGGCTTGATTGTGGCATATGCACCCATTGGGATTTGCATGTGACGTATGGGGGCTTGCATATGGCATATGTACCCACTGGGGTTTGCACATGCCATATTGAGGCTTGCATATGGCATATGTGCCCATTGGAGTTTGCATATAGCATATGTACCTATTGGAGTTTGCATATGACATATTGAGGCTTGATTGTGGCATAGGCACCCATTGGGATTTGCTTATGACGTATGGGGGCTTGCATATAGCGTATGTACCCATAGGGGTTTGCATATGACATATTGAGGCTTGCTTGTGGCATATGCACCCATTGGGATTTGCATATGTCGTATGGGGTCTTGCATATGGCATATATACCCACTAGGGTTTGCATATAGCATATGCACCTATTGGAGTTTGCATGTGACATGTTGAGGCTTGCATATGGCATATGTACCCATTGGAATTTGCATATAGCATATGTACCTATTGGAGTTTGCATATGACATATTGAGGCTTGATTGTGGCATATGCACCCATTGGGATTTGCATATGATGTATGGGGGCTTGCATATGGCATATGTGCCCATTGAAGTTTGCATATAGCATATATACCTATTGGGGTTTGTATGTGACATGTTGAGGCTTGCATATGGCATATGTACCCATTGGAGTTTGCATATGACATGTTGAGGCTTGAATATGGCCTGTGTATCCATTGAGATTTGCATATGGCATATGTACCTATTGTGGTTTGCGTATGACATGGGCTGTGGCTGCACCACTGTGGTCTAACTGGAAAACTGCCCCCAAATAGCTCCTGTTTGGAAGTGACTTGGGGTGACTGGCAGGAGATTTGGTCTAGACCTGCCCTTGATGTCCTGGTCCATGTTTATGCCCCTTCGGAAACGTAAATTTGGGGGGGGGGGGGGGGGGGAGATTGCATTATTAGTTGGCCCAGGAAGCATAAGCCAGCAGAGAGGGAGAGTGGGGTGTGTGTCTCTGTGCCTGAACTGGCGTGCCCCCAATCCAGAGCTGGGCCAGTTTGCAAATGCAGGGCTGGCGTTGAGTGCCCTATCTTCTCCAAGCTGTTCCTCCCACGTCCCTGGGTCTGCGCCAGAGCCAAGCCGGGTTCTGCAGATGGTGCCAAGCTTGCCGCCTCTTTGCCAAACCCTCGGAGGCAGCAAACTTGATGGAAACTTCCTGAGTTGAAGGCGGCAGTGTTGGCGGGCGCCAGGAGGAGGCTAAAAATAACCAGGAACACTTTATGCTGCCAGAGGGCTTGGGCACCGGGGTCAACGCGGCTCTTTCCTGGCAGCGCAAGGCAAACGGAGGGAGGGAGTCCCTGCAAAAGGGAGGCAGCAGAGCAGACACGGAAGGACAAGGTGGCCAATGTGAGTCACCCCAAGTGCCGCCCTTGTGCAGGTCCCCCCAAGTACCTCCGGCAAATCACGAATCCTAGGAATGCAAATGATGACACGATAGCAAAAGAGAGCATGGACTTATGCGTCCTGCACATGGAATCCTTTTTTTCTTTTTCCATTACTCACTTTCCTGTAGCTGACCACATTTGCATCCACGCTGCACCATTATGGCAGCTTAGGAAGAACTTCCTGACTGTGAGAGCTGTTCAGCAGTGGAACTCTCTGCCCCGGAGTGTGGTGGAGGCTCCTACTTTGGAGGCTTTTAAGCAGAGGTTGGATGGTCATCTGTCGGGAGTGCTTTGAATGCAATTTTCCTGCTTCTTGGCAGAAAGGGGTTGGACTGGGTGGTCCACCAGTTCTCTTCCAACTCTAGGATTCTATGATTTAATGGTGTCTTCAGAGGTTTGTTCAGAAATCTGTTGGAAATGAGGCAAGTGGAGTGTTATTTATACCTGTGGAAAAACGTCCAGGGTGGGAGAAAGAACCTTTGTGTGTCTGAAGCAAGTGTAAACGTTGCAATGAGCAAGCTTGAATAGCACTGAGTAGCCTTGCAGCTACAAATAAAGAATGCCACTCAGAAACGGGAATCCCAGACAGCAAACAATCAAGTGCCAGTGAACACCTCCCAAACAAAGGATGCCCCCAGACAACAACAGCCAAGCTACCTCTATGCAGAATCCCTCTCTGATTTATTCTGCAGTGGCGAGGCTACTCAGTGCTATTGCTGTGATGAATTTCGTATGTTTCAAGGAACTGCCTAGCTGCCATTTGTAAGCTTTCTCCGGGGTGGAGAAAGGCAGGGAATAAATAAGGTAAATAATAAATAATATTCAAGATTATTGTCGAAGGCTTTCATGGCTGGAATCACTGGGTTGTTGTAGGTTTTTCGGGCTATATGGCCATGTTCTAGAGGCATTCTCTCCTGACATTTCGCCTGCATCTATGGCAAGCATCCTCAGAGGTAGTGAGGTCCTCACAACCTCTGAGGATGCTTGCCATAGATGCAGGCAAAACGTCAGGAGAGAATGCCACATAGAACAATATTCAAGTTTGCTAATTGCAACACTGACTCTTGCTTCAAACAGAAGGGTTCTTCCTACTACCCTGGACATCCTACAGGTACATGTTTATACACTCCACCAACTTCACTGCCAACACAACCTCTGTTTACATAAGACATTTGCACCTGTTGGCATTTCCATGTGACCTGTTGAGGCTTGCATGTGACATATGTACCCATTGGGGTTTGCATATGAAATATTGAGGCTTGCTTGTGGCATATGCACCCATTGGGATTTGCATATGACGTATGGGGGCTTGCATATGGCATATGTGCCCACTGGGATTTGCACATAGAGTCATAGAATCAAAGAGTTGGAAGAGACCTCCTGGGCCATCCAGTCCAACCCCATTCTGCCAAGAAGCAGGAATATTGCATTCAAAGCACCCCTGACAGATGGCCATCCAGCCTCTGTTTAAAAGCTTCCAAAGAAGGAGCCTCCACCACACTCTGGGGCAGAGAGTTCCACTGCTGAACGGTTCTTACAGTCAGGAAGTTCTTCCTAATGTTCAGATGCCATATTGAGGCTTGTATATGCCATATGTGCCCATTGGCGTTTGCATATAGCATATATACTTATTGGGGTTTGCATATGACATATTGAGGCTTGCTTGTGGCATATGCACCCGGTGGGATTTGCATATGACGTATGGGAGCTTGCATATAGCATATGTACCTATTGGGGTTTGCATATGACATATTGAGGCTTGCTTGTTGGCATGTGCACTCATTGGGATTTGCATATGACGTATGGGGGTTTGCATATGGCATATGTGCCCACTGGTGTTTGCACATGCTATATTGAGGCTTGCATATGGCATATGTGCCCATTAGAGTTTGCATATAGCATATATACCTGTTGGGTTTTGCATGTGACATGTTGAGGCTTGCATATGACACATGTGCCCATTGGAGTTTGCATATAGCATATATACCTATTGGGAATTGCATATGACATATTGAACCTTGCATATGGCCTGTGTATCCAGGATGCTTGCCCCAGATGCAGATGAAATGTCAGAAGAGAATGCCACGGGAACATGGCCATACAGCCAAAAAAAAAAAAAAAACAACCCTCACAGCAACTCATCTGTAGAGATGGTTTGGATTTAGAGATGGTTTGGCAGAATGGGGCTGGACTGGATGATCTCTTGGGATCTATGAGTCTATGAACTTTCAAGACAGAAGCATTCAAGATGGAACGACTGGTGGTCGAATCTCCATTTTTGGATGCCTTTAAAGAGGGGCTTCGGTTTGTACCTTCCTTCCTTCCTAGCAAAAGGGGGGCTGGACTGGATGGCCCTTGGGAAACCCTTTCCACTCTGGGATTCTATGATTCCCTGCTGCCTCCTTGTCCCTGCCATTTAAGACCAGGGCTGTCCTCCTCCTCTCATGGACCATCCTGAGCCATCCTGCTCCACCTGCGCTCTGTTTCCACCTGCCCGCCTTCTCCTCCTCTTCCTTGTGACAATAAGCTAATGCCGGACTGTATCATAGCGGCAGGTTTTGTTGCGCTCGCATTATCAATAAAATGACATGAAGGATGGCGGGTCCTTTGTGGATTTGGAGTGAGTGGGGGGCAGAAGGGGCCTGGACTGGGTGGCCCCTTGGAGATACCTTCACCTCTTTCCATCCA